TTACTTTTGAAATCCGGAGTTGAAATGGGTCGTTCATACAAGTTTTTTTTGCAACGTTGCAATTTCGCCAAAAATGCCACCTTGCCACGTTTTATGAACGCACTACTATCTTTAATTAACCATATTATGATATTATTGTGTGTATGCAATGCATATTCATGAGTGAAAAGATATCACATAAAAACATTTTCTGTGTGCTGCGAGCACTTTCGTCGCAATGATAATGGCTGAGCGCAGACAAAAGAGTAATATTGCTGCTATTCACAAATACATAATGTTGCTCTCGTATTTCACAATAAAGTGGCTTGTCGCTGGAATTAGCGGCTAGCTGGAGCATTTGCTGAAAGAACTTATTCACAAGTCCGGTGCTGAGCGCACACATTCGCCGAGAGCTCGTCATCAAGCGTAAATATTGTCGAAAAAAGTTTTAACCGAATTATTTAATAAACGTACATATATACATGTTTACAGAGTGAAACTGCTGCCTTAAAATGGCATAAACCGAGTGTTGTTTTTTAGGTTGTATACTAATTAGTTTTGCGTGTTGCAAACAGTCAAATATTTAAGGTGTTAAATTTGGTGTTTGTTTTACTACTAATTTTTAGTTGTGAGCAGAGTGTTTCTAGAAATCACTTAATATTTATTGAAACCAACCGATTTTAATGAGGGTAGACGCTACAACAACAACAGGGTTTATTAGTCTGTTTGATACATGTGATATGTGTGTAAGTTGCCGTAGCCGTATATGTAAGTGAATTTGTACTGAAGTTTACATACATACTATATTCGCTCAATGTACTAACGGATATCTATGTACATATGTGTGTATGGCTGTGTTTGATTATATTGGTTAAGTCGCGAAGGTTAATTGGCTTCACTAAATCTTTCACTAAATAAATGTTTAATCCGCTATGCTCCAAAAGCGGGGACTTGGGGAATATGTGATCATTAAACCGCAGCGGTCCTGGACAGCTACTTGAATTATCCGAAATGAAGTTTTTTATATCTATTTTTAACTTTAGTAAAATGTATATACAGCTGCGGTCAATAAGATAGTAGCAAAATTCCAAATGATGTTTACAACTTATCTTTATATATTTATATTTACAAAAAATCAAAGATCGCAAAAAGTTCACAAAAACTAAACTTAAAAAAATTTCATCAAAATTTAAATTTTTTTCAGAGTTTTTAGAAAATTTTCGAGTATGCAGTTTTGTAGCCCACTAAATTTCAGTATGATAAAGTGCAAGTTTCAAGTCACTAAAAATTACCGTTGATTTTTTAGAATTTTTTTTTATAGAATATTAGAATTAGATATTGTTCATGTGTTATATGGAAGAAAATGCGCAACACCCTCAACAAAAAATGTGAAAAATCAACGATAGTCTTTAGCTATTTGAAACTTGCACTTTATTATACTAAAATTAAATGAGCTACACAACTGCATACTCGAAAATTTTCAAAAAACTATGAATAAAAAGCTTGAAGTTTTTATGAAAATTTTTTTTAAGTTCAATCAATTTTTGTGAATTTTGTGCAACCTTTGAAACGTTTATATTTATGTGGTTGCCAGCGATATCATTCTGAATTTTGCTACTATCTAATTGATGGCAACTGTATATTTTTTAATATAATTTTTGAGTGATACATACATATGTATGTCATGTGAACTCCAACCCTAAAAAGCCAAAACAAGATTTAATTTACGACATTTCTCATGCGGTTTTCTACTAGTCATCATATCGTCATGCCGGAGTTCATTGCCAGCAACTCCCATAACTTGAAATATACGCCGCCTAATTGATAATAGTGCCATTTAGCGCTCTACTACGCTCAGGAAAAAGTACGATCGCTGTTATCAAAAAAAAAAAAAAAAAACAAATGACCTTCATGTTCTCTCTTTCTCCCGCGAAAAAATTGCTAGCTGCATACATACTTATATGTAGATATATGTACATGTGTATATATATGTAATTGCAAACAATTTTACGAACTCTTTCTTTCTTTATTCTATATATTTTTCTATTTCTAGTAATGTTTTTAACGCGCAGAGGGAAATTCTTAAAAAGGTGACTGTCACAATCTTTTATACAAACAGTAAGGTGTATTACGAGTATTTGTTATATCATTAATTAATGTACGAAAGAGTAATCACTTCTATTTGACAAAATTAGATCTTAATTTCCATAGAGAGATTGACTGTAACACATTTAATTAAACTTTAATGAATGTATTCGATTATAGACATTTTTTTAGTAGAGCTTTCGCACTTAATATTTTATTAAAAATCTTTTATTTTATGTCGCAGCGAATGAGAAATGTTTCATGAAAGGTATACCGATTATAATTTCTTATTTTATATACATACATAAATGATCTATTCAGGTATTTTCTAGAGAATACATTAAAATTAACACGAATAAACCAGATATCCGGTTAACCAATACACTGATGTATATTAACGTATATACAAGTACAATGCACCATTAAATTTAATTGAGTAGTTAGTAGTAATTAGTAATAATAATTCTTTAAGACGAAGTAAAGAGGGAACGGATTTTATGGAAATTGCCTTTTTTCTGCTTAAGGTATAGATTATATTCAATGAAGAATGTCCACGATTTAGCTTTCCCTGATTCCATATATACACATTTGATGTTGCCTTTTTTTGCATTTTCTACCTTTAATTGTTAAGGGCAAGGAAAAAGCCTTTATTCCTGATAATATGAAAGTTTTAAACGTTCCATATTCAAATTGGGCGCCATCTATATCAACTGCCCGTGCCCATCTCTAATTCAAAGTAAAAATTTTTCATATCATGACACTAGTTCATAAGTTTTCTCCTTTTACATGTAAAATAAACATTTCTAAAATAAATGAATTTTTTTTTGTGTTTATTTTTTGGTTTTTGTCTTTTTTAGTGCCTTTTTGCCTTTTTGCGATTTCTAGTGCCTTTTCCTGCTTATTTCGCTATTTTCTTTTGCCTTCTTTAGTCTATTTCATTTTTTTATTTTGCCTTTTTTATAGGTTTTTGGTCCTAAAAATCCATTCCCTGTTTATAAACGATATACACATAAGAAAAGAAGTTCGCATTCAAACGAGTATTTGCATTTTTTTACGATAATACACATTCTGCCCGTAACTACGCTGCCCTTCGGTTATGGTACGAAAATGGCTCTTATCGCTAATTAAAACCATTAAGTATGTAAATAATTTCAATCCGAACAAGATTTCAGTGTAGCACAAATTTAGGGTCTTTGCTTAGGCTCTCAAACGAATTATGCCCAAACGGTACACCCATTTGCGATGGACAAACTCTAAGCAGATTCTGCTCAATATCATAAAAAATTTTTTTTACAGCGTGTCAAAGTTCACACTTTTTGGTAACTAATGGATACCACCGTTTGGTCATTATTCGGTCGAGGCCCTATTTTCGGTAGCTGTGCAGTTTCAAAATAAAATAAAACAAAATCGCTAAATCACTAACTACACTTGTTATATGCAAGTGGGACTTTCTCTGTCCGATTGATTTGCGTTCTATCGGTCTTGGGTTTACTTTATTTTTTATCGATGTATGTATGTATGTATGTAGCTTAAACTCTTTTTCACTAACCTATTTATTGTTTTATGTTCGAATTTAATAGTGAATGCTAATGCTTTATTTTTTTTTGTTCTTCTCTCTTCCATGTTAAATCCATCTGCATAGTAAAAATTGCTGAATGGCGCAGTGAATTCGCCTACATACACCAGTCAAATACACAAATGCCTTATAGCACAAATTAAAGAAAAAGTAAAAATTAAAGAGAAAAAACTAAACTAGAAAAGAAACGCACTTTCGAATTAAGTAGTTGTCAGTATTCCATTGCCGTATTTAACAAGTTATTGAACATTGTATCATTCACATATGTACATAGTTCCCCAGCTAGACGCACCTGTGAAATTCCCAAAGTTCCCCTTCCAAAACATTTGTTTGGTTTTGTGTGACACTGCAGCCATTTCTTGTGGTGTTCAGTCGACTATTTTGTGTTCAAATTCAATGTTCGATTCCTTTTGGGCCTTTCAAGCAACCAACGAAATTTAATGTCATTTAGGCCTGATAAAAACGATTATACAAACATATATGCAATGTACGAAACATATAAATTCTTAAATATAATATTTCGTGCTTCAGTCATTCCGGGAGCATTCATATTAATTTGGCTGACGGGGATGTAAGTACGCTAATTTTATATACATAAATACATTTGTAGAATAATTTTAAATAGTAATTTCCATCACATTCTCCAATAAAACAATAAGATAAAAATTAGAAAATTAATCATCCAGCGTGTTTGTTTTCTTATCTAACATCTAAAATTTTTGGTTTCTGCTGATCTTTATTTTTGTGTGTTTTAAGCTATGAAAAAATGTGTTCGGTATTCTGCTTGAGTTGAAATATTTTTTATATAACCATAATTATGATTTTAATTCATACGTACGTATAAACATATTTAATGCGCATCTCTCATATTTCGTGGTATGTTTGCTTATACGATTAAACATTTTCTTTCATTCGAAAATCGCTTTTAAGTAAGAAAAATACATCGTCGCCTGGCGCGCAATGCATCGTATAAGATAGTCCGAAAATTTCATAAAAGAGCGAAGAAACTTATTTTTTTCACCAAATATGAGCTTCTACAATAATTATACACTATTAAATTTGTGAAGTAGGGAAGCATTGAGACGGGGTAACCAAAATAAATTTGCTTCTATGCCACCGCATACGTGGTACTGCATTTGGCGGATACGAAGTATTGCGCGCCAAGCAACGAAATGACTTTAATAAGTTTTAGTTACTTGTATGTACGTATAAATTATTTTGCTTAAGACAATTACGTGTACATACACTAATTCCATTATCTGTCTTCTCGCCTTTTTCCCACAGAATATCACTTGCCGTTGTCCAATTATGTATGCTAGTATTTTTGATAATATTTGTTGGATTCCCTCTGGTGTTTCGTTACTCTATAACGTTGCAAAGAGGAATTCTGTTTCTAACTTTTAGTAAGTATTTTAAAAATATAAATAATTTTACTATAATGTTGTATAATGTGCATTCATAAAAACAAATTTTTCGTTAATAGTCACATACCCGAAAGATCTCGATCTGTCGAATCCGGCCAGTATAGGATTGTTTGGCACTAGAAGTTTACATATTAGTGTACTTGATCCAGATGCTGAAGAACGTCATGACGGTATACGTATCGGTGTATGGCACGTATTGCCCTTACAATTAGCGAAGCGCTTTGCTCAAGAATTGAAAATTGATACGGTAAGTAATTTATTTTTACATACATACATACATACATATGCTTGAAACAAATTAAAATTTTCCTCCCTACTTACAGCAAGCACATGAGGAACTGCAGAACACCACCATTGAAAAAGATGAGAAAATAGACCAATTGATGCCTGTACTGAAATCGGAATTCCCCGATGTGAACGCCGAGAATGAGCAGCTCTTTTATGAGCGACTGCTCAAACTTCCGGGTATAATTGTTCTTTATTTGCACGGCAATACCGCATCTCGTGGCTCGGGTCATCGTGTTGAGATGTATCAGCTGCTGCGTAAGCTTGGTTATCATGTAGTGGCGTTAGATTATCGTGGCTATGGTGATTCTGACCCCGTTCCACCCACCGAAGAGGGTATTGTTCGCGATGCGCTCACTGTATATGAATATATCAGGAATGTGACAACTAATCCGATCTTTATTTGGGGCCATTCACTTGGTACTGGCGTAGCGTGCCATCTATGTGCGGAATTAAATTTAAATTTTAAGATGAAGCTGCCACGTGGGGTTGTGCTAGAGGCGCCTTTCACGAACATACGTGATGAAATACGGTTACATCCATTCTCACGGGTGAGAAAAAATACCACATATTTAGATTTATTTTAATGTTCTACATTTGTTTAAAATGAAATACTGTTTTGGTTGCAGCCCTTTAAGGACCTTCCTTGGTTTGATTTAACCATAGCGCGACCAATGTATTCGAACTCATTACGTTTTGAGTCGGATCGACATATTGCGGAATTCCGTCAGCCGGTAATGATAATTCATGCTGAGGATGATTATGTTGTGCCATTCGAACTGGGATACAAGCTCTATCGGACAGCACTTGATACTCGTGGGAAAACTTGGGGACCTGTTGAGTTTCATCGCTTCAGCGGCAACGCAGGTTACGGGCACAAGTTTCTTTGCCGCGCGCCCCAACTGCCAGAACTGGTAAAACAATTCGTCGATAATTTTTACAAGGAAGATTTTTAAAAAAATGCCGAATATAATGGACATTGGTGTTTTTCTTAATATGCGTTTTTGGCTCAGAAGATGTTATATCAATATTGGCAAATCAATTATATATATCGTTACCTTAATATAGAAATGCCCTAACTCATATAGTCCCTGAAACACAAAAAAGCCGTAACTAACTAAAATTTGTTATTGCTTATAATGATGTGGGGACATATAATTCGATGAAATGCTTCATAAACATTGAAAAAGGGAATTATGGATTTTTACTTAGCTACGGCTTTTTGTATTTCAGCGACAATCAGCCTCATTGCGTAAGTCGTAAATTAGGCTGAATTGTACGACTCGACAACATTAGCATTGTCTACTGTCATGCTGAAATAAGTAAACGACGAAAATCATCGAAAACTATGCAGTGCTGCCAAGTTTTTCCGTTTTAATATACTAGTCCAGTGGAAATTTTAGACAATGACGCTAAATTTTCGATACGATTCGACTCTCGAAAAACGACTTGCATTCGGCACGACTCTCCCAATGAGGCTGAATAAGAGTCAGGGCCTTTCTATATTAATGTATGTAACATACATATGAACGAATCAAAGCTTTATAGTTTTTCCAAGCGCAATATTTGAGTTTTTAGTTTGACAAAAGCTATCAGGATCAGCTATCCGTATATTTTAGACGCCGTTGGTTTAAGCGACTTATGCATATCCGATCCATAAACAATTCTAGTCAGATGAAGTGCAAGTTTTAAGCGGCTAAAAATCGCATTGATTTTTAATATTTTTTTTTTCTGTGACTAATTTTTAATAACCGCAGATTTATACGGAATAAAATATTACAAATTGAAGTGAAATTAATATTTTAAGAAAATATCTACCATCGTTGATTGCAATTCATGAGTTAGGGCTTTTATTTAACGAAAAATTACACACATCAACAATCTTTGCGATTGTCAGAATATTTTATGCATTTGTCAAAAATTTCTCTAGCATCATGGGCTACTGAAATTTTATGCACCTCAACATCAACAATTTACTCACGATTCACAAACGCTCTTATAAGGAAAAAAAGTGCGAAAATCCGTCAGCAAAAAAGATAATTAAAAATCAACGCGATTTAGTAGCCACACTTCATGAGACTAATGGCCTTATTCATAAAAAATAAAGTAGGTGCAAAGAGCTTTATAAATTGATGTTTGCATACATTTTTCAATTTATAGACCTTTTATAAAGCCACTTTATTTTATATGAATAAATACCATAACATTTTATGGTCTATAAAACTGCATACTCAAAAATGTTGTAAATATTCAGATTAAAAAGCTGGAAATTTTGATGAAAATTTATCGAATTTTCCTAAATTTTGTATAAAGTTTGTAACTTTGATTTATATGGTTTTGGCTAAAGCTTGGACAATATTTTTAATGAAAAATAACAAAAAATTTAACTTGAAAAACATTTTGAATATTAAAAAAAAAAAATACAACACGTGAACACTTGTTTGAGTCACTGTTGACCTCGTAATTAAAGTCAATTTTTTCGATAATAGAAACCGGACACCAGCTAAAATGAGCCCACACCCAGGATCTAGGCTTATTTTATTTGTGTATTTGGTTGAGCGTATTTGTATTAGATTCCCTGTACAATCTGTTTTTTTTGCTTTGAGTTTTCTTTTCTTCACTTGATTAGTTTCATTTTGTATTTTCATTTGCTATCCCATACAAAATGAAATGGAGACGCCATCGGGAAAGAAGGGAAGGGAAGAAAACTTTTTGCTACGCGTTGAAGGTATTTGAAAATATTTTTGAAATTCACTTCTATCATTATACGACACAATAGTTGGCGGAAGCAACATATCTGATGTGATGTAAATCATATTTTAATTGTGGAATAAGTGAACAATTTTGTATATCCTTGATTTCAATAGAAGTTCAAAATAGTTTGACATTTTGTATTTTGTCTAGTTTCTTTCCGTTCCATTTTAAATCGGAACGCATACGTTCTAGTAACGATTCCTCTGGGATATTTTTTGAATTTTTCTCGAAAAGGTAGCTGACTGTACTATACACTTTTTTTACCATCAAACTTGAAATATTTTCTCAGCAGAGTATATGCGTGCATCCAAATATCATTCTGGAACAGAGTGAGAAATTTATTCAATCTTTTCACGAATAAATTGGAACGGTATGAACTATCGTACAACTTCAGGTTTTTACGCAGCATACTGTATCTTTTTTTATACCCGAGCGCACTTGTGCACAAGGGTATTATAACTTTGTTCACATAACGGTTGTTTGTAACAGGCAAAACGAATCGAGATAAATATAGACAAATGTATACATAAATGATCAGAATGAAAAGAGAAATCGATTAAGCGGTAAAGGCTGATTTTCACTATGTCAAACTCAGTGGCATTTGTCGTCAAATAAGTGAAAACACATTGTCAAATGGGATTAAAAAGCGGTTTATCGACTGATTTGGATCCGGATAGGTCTTTAGTCGTGTACATACGCTGCTAAATCGGCTATATGTCTGTTTTTGGCCTATAATATCATCGGCCAAGGTATGGATAAAGGAGATAAAGTTGTGTCAAAATATGTCGCCAAATTTTGACGTCAAAATATGACATAGTGAAAACCAGTCTTAACTGTCTGTCCGTCCGTCCGTCTGTGCACACGATAACTCGAGTAAAAATTGAGATATCTTAACGAAACTTGGTATGTGCACCTCTTTTGGGCGTAGGACGGATGGTATTGAAAGTGGGCAAAATCGGAGAATAACCACGCCTACCTCCCATATAACGGTAATTTTCAGAAATACGAAAACTTCGATAAATCAGTAAATATTAAAGCTAATTTATTCAAAATTGATGCTTGCAACAACTCTTAGAACATTATTGAAATCGGACTAAAAGTACGGCCGCTTTTCATATAACGGTAAATTTCAGAAATGCTTGAAACTTCAATAGCTCTGATCCAATACTTTTCGTGAAAAATCCTGTAAAACTGTCAAACAGCAAAATTACTCTCTGAAGTGAGAGTAAAAAGTGAGTAACAACAAAAAGAATGACAACAAAAAATCCATTTTTCCTGTAAAAATGTCAACCAGTGATTGCTTGACACATGATTTTACCAGAAGAAAAAGTTCGGGTAAAATCTTGCAACTTCATTCTCTACACAACTCTCCAAAAGTCGCTCTCATTTTTCAACATTTTCAACATTTCTCCTGCAAGTTCGTGTAAAATCCTATAAGTTCATGGAGTACTGGATCAGAGCTAATATGTCGAAATTTACAGACGCTAATTTATTCAAAATTGATACACCTCGGCTTACCATGTAACGGCAGCTTTCGGACAGGTGAAAAACATATATTTAATATTTGCGCAGGGTATTTAATGTTCGGCTCTGCCCGAACTTGGACTTTCTTACATGTTCGATTATATACTTTGCTCTTTTCTTTACCATCAAATGGTAATGGCTGTCAAGAAAATTCGTCGCGTCAAAATTTCCTTGTTCCCAATCATCGTACAGTTTCCTAAGTAAAAACACTATCAGCTGATTGCCGAAAAATGAGATCACCTGCTTTTTGGCATTTGCTCTTATCTTTTACAATTTAATTCATTTCTATTACAATTTCTTCCATTTCTATCACACTTTCAAAATACACTAACACATTGAACCAAAAACCCAATACACTAACCACTTCAAACTAAAGATGTCTTAGCACTCTTTCGTATCGACTTTTCAAACAGGTGGGCAACCCTTACGAAAAAATAAAAATGTATTGCACATACATATATAGGCCAAGCTCTTGACACCCATTTTTTCTTAATTGAATGAAGTGTGAAAATCTGATTTCATTAACAAAAAATTCATATGTAAGGTGGTAATTTTTAAAGAGGTGTCCAACCTAAAGAGGTGTCAGTCCTACTAACTGTGAAGATATTATAATATTTAAAATGGTGGCAGCCCTACTAAAAAATTATTGGACATCCAGAGGCCAAGCACTTTCACTTTACACTTCATTTTCTGTAATCCAACTCTTAATTATTTAATTTTGATATTTAATTATAAATTTCAATGCCAAATCGTCTGCTATTTAATGATAAAATACAATTTTTTGAATTGTTGAAAATAATAATTTCATGTTCATTACCTACTAAAAGTGAGTATTTTTTTTTTGAAAAATTTCAGAGTAAATTTAAAAGTCATAAAGTCGACAGTGGTGATAAATTTACTTTGAGAATTGAAAACCAGAAAGTCGATTCCGAAGTTAAGAATCGATTCTGCGTGCGGCTTTTCCATCTCTAATCGAAACCAAAAACCATGATAAAAAAATAGAAGGTAGTTTCACTTAAAACTTTTTTGACGGTTACAGGCATTTTTGAAGTTTCATAAATTGCACATTTTAGAAGCAGCGTTGCCACATTGGTATTAACAAAATATAATTGATGGTATTTTGGGATGGGAGTTTCTATAGTTTTTGATGGTTCTTACAATCCTAAAAGAATAATTTTTGGAGTTTTCAAATGTGCAATAATTATGATT